AAACCTTTAGATCCGCTGCGCATAGGTTTATGTTGAATGTTTGTCCGTGATTTGTGCATATCGAGATCCTCATATGTCCCAACACCGAGTTTATGTTTTTCCCTCCATTTAGCACTAGTTTTCTCCAGTAGCTCCCGCCCAAAAAAAGTCTACACCTTCTTTTTTATACACCTTGTGTCTGACCGACCACGCACCACTCATTTGGTCCCACAACTTTAATGGTATATGGAAACCCATTCCTTGTGCACAGATAAAATAAAAGGCTGCTATCATTCATGCTGTTTGACCTGTCAATCCAAGAACAAATAAAAAAAAGTTGTGAACGTTATCACAATTAAAAAAAGGCTGCCACACCACATGGACTCCCATTCTTTTCGCCAAAAGACGCATGAGAAGAAGCTTTTTTTTTAACCGTTGTATGTTATATCGCTACCACCTAACAATAGCACGCACATCTTTTATTAATATACACTCTGGAACTCGAGCTTCTCAAAATAAGTGATCGAGACCTCGAAAGCACTTTTCGTTAGCATCTATATTATTCACACGGAAATTAGCATCTATAGTTAATTGCTCGGAACCACAAAAAACTCGATATATGGCTCGCACATTGTGTAGTTAAAATTTTATTTGGTTCCCATGTATTTATCTTAGAGTAATTTGTTGATAGAATCATAAATTTAAACAAGACTACTAAAAATAAATAAATGAACAAAAAAAAAAAACAACAAAATTTCTTGTTTATTTTTAACTTGGACAACAAAGGGTAAAAAATAAAAATTATATCCCATACAAATCACATATTTTGTCATTAGCCCCTTCATTTATGTAACTAGTATAGATCTCGTGCGATGCACGTGGTGCACAAAATTAAGGTCATTTATCGAGTCTTATAATTATATAAATGAATAAAGAAAAATGTACGGGATATATATAGTACGTGACCTGTAATAGGCCAAAATGTGAAGATGAGTCATGTCTATATAATATAGGTTTGCTTATAATATAAGTATAGATGAGTCATGTCTATATTACCCAATAACTCCTGCATTTGTGTAAAGATTGTATAAATATATAAAATTCAACACAAATGCATAATATTAAAAAATAACTAGGCCTCATTTGTGTAGATAGACAAAATCCAACAAAATACACAAGATTAAAAAAAAAAAATTTTTGAGGCCCCAAATAGTAGTTGGTGGACATCTGCATTCAAAATGACTATTGTTGCTTTTGATATACTATTGTTGATTCTGATAGTAGTTGTTGATATACTATTGTTGCTTCTTATTTCCATATCAATTATAAACATACATTCTGTAATGATGCATATGAATGTTAACATGAACTAATCATAAATTTCTTCCACGGGTAAAACAAGTCAATAGACACCATTACACAGGATTGGTACACCAGAAAATACTCACACAAAATGAGCTATACCAACCTAACCTCCAAACATTACATCAATTCAATCTCAAAACGAACACAAACATAAGGAATCAATGTAAAGCACCATGTAGAACCTTCGGCCATTTCAGTGTCATCAACAAACTCCCGAGCATCCCAATTCTGCATCAACACTTTACCATGCCCTTCAACAATTTGTAATTCATATGTGCTATCTTCACAGTCCAAAATTACTCTACTCTTGTCGGTTGACACATTTTGAATATAAGATCACCAAAAACTCAGTGGAATAGGCTGCAATATCGGATACTTGTAACTTATGTAATACAAAAAAACACATAAATTAATACAAAAAAACACATAAATTAATCGATATTATATAATACAAAATTACCAAACGAGCACGTTCCACATGGGTTTTTCTTATCTACAGCGTAAAACGGTGTTGAAGCTCCCGTTCAACCTGATTATCGGTGTGAATTGTGACGACGAAATCGGTCAAGGAAGTTCGGTCGAACCACAAACAGTTGTCGGTCATAATGGCCTCTGCACGCACAAAGGCTAGCCATCCTTCATCAAAAACCACCCGACAAAGATTACCTCTCATTGTCACGTTATACCTTCGACCCTCTCTGGTGGTAAGGGTGCACTCCACAGGCAAAAGGTGGCTATATTGACGGTTAAGCTCGTCCGGAAGCTTCTGTGTTTAGCAA